ATACCATGAAAATACAGCCTGCTCGTTTTCTAAGTGAAGCTGGGGTTGGCTTGGTGATTTGGGCAGCGTGGCGGAGCTGGGGCACACCTCAATTTCCTGACCCCTATTCCAGAGCTCTTTTATAACCCACACTGACCTAGCTGTTTAGACATGGGCCAGTATCTGTCACCTGCCTACACATGAGAATTGCCTGGAGAACTAAGAATCACACAATCAAAACAAAAAGACCAACAACCCCTGAAGCCTGGTCACCACTGCCAGCCTCACCGGTGATTTTTTAAGGGTTCATCGGGGTATTTCATGCACTGCCAGCGTTGAGAAGCCGCCACTTTTTGCCTTTGTAGGTTGTTATTTAGCGCCCTTAGTTCTCCCATCACCTTGTCTTCTCAGGGACAACAGGTGCCAACCAACGGGAGCCCCTTCCCCTCACCACCACCTCATCTACAAATTGCTTTCACTCATCCTCTCTCCTTACTTTCATAAAACAGAGGAGGTACGCCTTTCCCCTGTCGGACTAGCCTCTCCACCTGGCACTGAAATCGCCCCCTCATCCTGTGCTTCCTTAGGGCTTGGCTGTAGTTAACTGTTTGTCTATCACACCCACCTTGTTTCCTTTTACCAGTGTCTGGCTCATAGTACATGTGGTAGAGACTTCTAGTCGTCTATTCAACATCCACGCTCACATTCTTCCTTACTGACAGGACCCCTATATTATTGAAGCAGCAACGCACCCACAGAAAGACATCTTCCAGCCTCCCTTCCACTACATGTGGCCATGTGACTGAGTCCTGTTCAATGAGACATATATAGAGGTTGTCAGAGGGATTTCCAAGAAATCTTTTTAAAAGAGACAGACACGCAGAGAAATCTTTTCCCCTTTCCTCCCCTTTCCTCCCGCCTGATGACTGGAAAGTGGACACGATAGCTAGAGCTCCAGCAGCCATTTGGGACTACAAGGTGACCTGGAGGATAGAAGCCATGCCCTCGAGATGGTGGAGCAGAAGGATGGAAGGAGCCCACATCCCTGATGGTTTTGAGGGGCTGCCCTGGAGCATTCACCTCTACTTCTAGATGACACTAATGTTTTCAGCTCATTGCTATCGGTGCTTCTGGTATTTGTATCTGAATTAATCCTTATGGATGCCATTGGTAATCAGAAATTATTTTTTCAAAGAATGGGTGGAGTCCACCCCTGTGGTGGTCATCTATTGTCTGCCCTCTTCCCTTTTCTGGGAACTGCCCCTTTCCTCCTATCCACATGTTCCTTCAGTGTCACCCTGGTCAGCTGGCTGTCCTAAGCCAAGGCAGGACAATCTAAGGGCTTCCCAAGACTTGACTCTGGTTGCAACAACTGGGCTAGAGGTGTACACCTGACCTAAACTGGACCAACCAAGGGCCTTCTTCAGGAATCTTAAAGAAACAGAGAGTCTTTCCAGTGACAGAATTTTAGATACAAAGTTCAGAAGCTGTTGATAGTCATGTTTTTTTTCCCCATGTGACCAGTATAAAAGGAGGATTGTCTACAGACAGAGAGCAAGAAGAATACACAGATGAACAGGGAAGGTCAAAGACAAGAGATGGAATGAGAACCCCAAATGCCCTGGTCTTAATCATTAATGAGGTTCGATTACGTTCATGACGCACAGTATAAAAGAAAACTTTGCAATCCAGTCTTCTTTTTACTTAAGCTACTTAGAGTTGTATTTCTGTTCTTTGTAATGGAGAGTTCTAATACACCCCACTAGGATTAAAAAGGGAAAAAAACGCTTTGTAGCTTGCTCCCAGAATCTATATGATTTTCTTTTAATAATGATTAGCAATGGCAGTATTTGTTTATCTTGTATACTAATTTACCAGAAATTGAACAGGGCTACTGCACAAACATGTGTTTGGTGTTGTTTTCAGTAAATTGTTAGTAAATTGGAGTTAAACCTCAAGCCATCCTGACAACATCTTCCTACACCAACCTCTTTGCAATTACAGACACAAGAATTGGCAGTAAATGCAATTCAGCTTGAAGAAAACGCCATAAAATTTAAAAGCCTGTGAAGGACCACTGGATTGCATCATCAACTCATCGTGCATCCCACCTGGAAGGCTAAAAGTAGACACGAAGTTCTAATGGTTTTGTTCTTATAAATGTTTATAATTGTCATCTGTCCATCTCAACAATTGCAAGCTATCTGAGAAGAGGAAAACACCTTTAACTTATGTGACTGAATGTGAGTAAAGTATGGCTGACCAAAATGTTTGTGCAAACTGATGCAAACTTCCTTTTTTATGACTACATAAACAAAAACTTTTTGCACAGTACCGCGCTTTATGTGGTATAATGTGTAAAAGAGAAAGCACCATATCTGTGTTTGTACAGAAACCAGGTAAACTTGTCATAAACTAGGGAAGAAATGACTTAAGTGTCACCTCCCACAACTCCTGCTGTGAACAGGCTTCGGGGCTACTAGGTGTCGTAACTATTAACACAAACTTGAGAGAAGCTAAATCTCAGTGCACAAACTAAACAAATGAGTCTCTGATACAAATAAGTCCCATGAATTCATATCATGCAGGGCTCCTCCCAAACATTATTTAACTTCCCAGCAACTTGGAAGGTATTATCAACACCAGTTTACAGCCGAGGAAACTGAGTCAGAGAGCTGATGCACCCTGCCAGAGCCATCCAGCTTGTGAGATGTGGAACCTGGGTCACCCCATTGCCACCATGTGCCTCATTCAGCACTGTGCCCTACTGTGAATTTCTCAGCTGGGGTTTAAATTGTTTCCTTAAAGTAAAGTTTGCCATGCAGGACTGGAGTTTTCTTCTTTGGAGTATTAATGTGCACAGCATCCAAGAATGTAACAGTTACACCAAAAGTACATTAAAGTCAGCAGGTGTGCGTAACAGAGGAACTACAAAAAGCACACCTACGAAACATGTTCAGATTCAGCAATAACAAACGATTTAAAAACTAGGCTTGACCACCAGATATAACACATGATCCTGGACTGAATCCTATGCCAGGGTAAGCATAAAGGGCAGTTTGCTATCAAGATTACTATTGGGACAGTCAACAAAATTTTAATATAGGCTGCAGTTTATTTTTTAAATGCTGTATCAGTATTAAAATTTACTGCATTTGATACCTGTACTGTGAATACTTAAAAACATATCTTTATACGAAAACACATTGGAGTATTATAGCTAAAGGGCCATGATATATGCAAGCAACCTGTCTCAGATGGCTTAGCGAAGAAACTGTATCTCAAGAGATATCGAATGAGAGAGAGAGAGAGAGAGAGAGAGGGAATAAGACAAAAGTGACATATTAAAAATTAAAATTAAAAAAGTATATGGTAATTCTTAGTATGTGTTATTTTCATGCTTTTTCTACAAGTTTGAAATTACTTAAAAATACAAGTTTAATTTTAAAAGAGCACTAGGTTTAGACCCAAGAGTTCTGGATTCAGGCTCAGATTTCCCATTACTCATCTGAGTGACATCTGCCATTTCACATAACCTCTCTGGACCATGTGAAATACAGAAGTTATTTAACTGTGGATTGGCATTTCATTATACGAATAAATCTCAGCTCATCCGTTCCCCGACACTGGGCAGCTCTGACGTTTTCAGTAAGCAGTTGTATACATGCTTCCTTGTGCTCACGTGCAAGCTTGTCCCAGAGCTGATCTACATTACCAACAGGGATAAACTCAAGAATATGAGAGCGAGTGAAAAGAAAAAGCACATAGCAAAAGGAAACATTAATGATTCCATTTATGCAGATTTTCAGACACTAAAATACATTGTAAGAGTATAGAAACATACACTGGATTGATATATAGCAGCTTCGCCATAGAGCTTAACTCTAGGGGGCAGGGAGGAGAGACAGAAGGGTAAGGTGGGCTTTAGTTGTCTCTATAAGATTTTATTTCTTAGAGAGAGAGAGAAACAGAGGGAAAGAGACAGTGAGAGAGACAGAGAGCAATGCAAGTGTTCAGCTAAAGTATCTTTCCGTCCTTTCCAGCTCCAACAGTCTAGATTTGAGTTGGATTTGTAACCTGAACAAACTTTATAACCTTTAGCCTGCTTATGAGTGTGTGTAGACTTACCAGAATTCAACAGGCACGTACTGAGAAAATACTTTATACAGGGCACTGAGCCACATTTCTGGTAGTCAGAGACAAGTAAAACACAGTTTGGAATGCTTTGAAGGGAAAAGAACTCTGATATAATAAAGAAAAAGCTTGGTTAATCATTTCCTTGAGATAATGGAACTTAAGCTACAATTCAAGGAGACGGTGAACATGGGGGGAAGGGTAGGTCTGGTTAGAGAAATGTTTTTAGCCGTATATTCCTGACGCAAAAACAGGAGCTTTTCATTCTTAGCATCGTTGGCTCAGTGAACCACCTAAGGAAGTTACACCCCTGAAGGAAACCTGTTATTACACATTGGAATTGACTGGTCCTCCATGAATAGCTACCAATTGAATAGCATGTTTTGAAACAGTAGAAAAACACCAAGAGAAAATATTTTTGATCCAGGACTGGTATCATTTAAAGTAAAACAAAGAGGAAATCTGGTAATTATCCAGTGAATTTCTGCAACTTGATTACCAAATTGGATAGTTCGCACAAAAAGCGTGTCTATTTGTGACTACACAAGATTACAGCAAGATGTATCTCTCTACCTCTGAGGGTCACGTTATGTAAACATGGACAGAAAGGGGCTTATCCATCCGGTCTGTTTTGCTACCAAAGAGCAGAAAACCTGACTCAAATGAACTTAAGTGAAAATAAGAATTTATTGCATCAGGTAACTAAAAATAAAATAAAAAAAATAAAATAAATAAATAAAATAAAATATATAAAATAAAATAAAATATAAATAAAATAAAAATAAAAAATAAAAATAAACAAATAAATAAATAAAATATAAATATAAATAAATAAATAAATAAATAAATAAAATAAAATATCCAAGGGTAGATTTAACTTTAGGTACCTCTTGACCCAGGAGCTAAGGTGATGGCATCAAGATTCAGTTTTTCCCCCATCTCTTGGCTTGTCCTTCTGCAATGTTGGTTTCATTTTCAGGTTTCATATGGTGTCCATGATCAGGTCACTCTTACTGCTAGGAGTCCTAGGGAAAAAAAGATGGTCTCAGCTGAGTAGTTCCTACACAAATTCCAATCTTTAGGGTGCTTGGAATGACCTGTGTCACATGCTTACCTCTAAGCTAATTAATCATTGTTGCCTGGGGATGCAGTGCTCTTGTTGGCCAGGCCAAGCCACATGCTTGGGAGTCAGGGGCAGGGAGAGCTCCACTCTCAGCACTTATGGAGGAAGAGGTGTTCTCAATGAACACTTCTTCCTACTTTAATGTACATTAAATTCCCAGGGGACTTCTAAAATGCAGATTCTGATTCAGGAGGTCTGGAGCAGGCCAGAGAGTCTGCATTCACAACAATCCTGGCCACATAAAACTCCCAGGGAGCATGCTAAACTACTGTTTAAGAACCACAAATATAGTTAGTCACAGGCTAGGCCACCTACATAAATGAAGGGGCACAGTGCAAAATGAACTGGAGCTCCTTGTTCAAAAATTATTAAGAATTTCAAGAATTGGTGACAGCAGAGCATTAAGACTCTTCTAAGTTGGGGCCTGTGCAACCTCACAGGTCACACGTCCAGGAAGCCAGCCTTGACTGCAGGCTTCTGTTTTGATCAGTGTGGGGCCAGAGCAGGATTGCTGTGAATTGCAGGAGAGAGGCAGATCCTGAGGTCCTTCTCTGCTCTTCCTCCAAACAGACCCAGCCTCATCTTTGAACAAATGTTGAGCGTTTATTTGAAAATCATCTCCCTGAAGGAGCCTCCGCTATTAGCCTGCTTGTGGAGGCCACAGCTCTCATTAGGAGAGCCCTGAAATGCTTACCCAGCTTCTTAACTGCCACTCATTTTATGCCCGTATTTGGCTAGATATTCTTGCTGTGTGTCCGAAGGCATCGCATACCTTCATAATCATAGCACTTAGCACATATTATTTCTGTTGACTAATTTAGTTGTGTCTCCCCTCCAAGAGGACAAGTTCAAGGAGGGCAGGGACGGTGCCTGCCCTGTTTATAGCTCGTTCCTCTAGTACAGTGCCTGGGAAAATGTTTTACAAATATCTATGAGTTGACAATTATAGTAATAGTTAATACTTTTGGCATTATCAGATGTTTAAGTTTTAGCCATTCTGGTGGGCGAGTGGTGGTGGAACCCTACTGTGGTTTTAATCTGCATTTCTGTGGTGGTGAACGAGGTCGAGCAACTTTTTTGTATTGATTAGCCTTATAAATACTTTCTGTATCAGCTGGTTAGGGCTGCCATTACGCAGTATCACAGATTAGTGGCTTAAACAACAGAAACTTATTTTGTCACAATTGTGGAGGCTACAAGTTTGAGATCAAAGTGTTAGTAGGGGTGATTTCTTCTGAGGCCTTGCTTTCTGACCTGTAGATGGCTGTGTTCTCGTCCTTCTGTGTATGTCTGTGTCCTAATCTCCTCTTCTTAGAAGGACACTAGTCAGACTGGATTAGGGCCCATCCTAGTGACCTCATTTTAACTTAATTACTTCTTTAAGGAGTCTATCTCCAAATTCAGTCACATTCTGTGGCACTGGGGTTTAAGACTTCAACATATGAATTGGGGGGGCATAATTCAGCCCATAAACCCTCCTTTGTAGAAATGTCCTTTGTCTCTTGCCCATCTTTCTTTTGAGTTGTCTGCTGCCAGAAGCTCTTTGTATCCTGGATTCCATCCTATTTGCCTTCTTCTCTCAATGGGCTCCAGCTACACGTATGTTAGACTTTTTATGATCTCCCATATGTCCCTTACATCTTTTGTCTCTCCCTTCAGTTTGGATATTTTATTCTGACCTATATCCAATTATATTTTCTCTTTAGCTGCATCCAGTCTACTATTAAATCAATCCAATCAGTGCTTACTTTTTACTTTTCAGTTCTAGAACTTCTTTTTGATTCATTTTTAAAGTTTTCAGTTCTCTGACAAAATTCTCCATGTTGTTAATTTAATTTCTGAAACACATTCCCATAGTTACTTTAAAGTCATGTCTAAAAACTCCAATATTTGTCTCCTATGGCTCTGTTTCTATTTTCTTTCTGGTTTAGGTCCATTATTATTTTTTGTAGGCTTCATTTTTTAAATTGAATTCTAGCCATTGTACATGAAGAAATAGGGAGGCAAGTTGAGGCTCCGGGTTGACTTTTACTTTGGGCAGGATGTTTGGCCAGATGCAGATCATCTTAATGCAATCTGGGATTAAAATAATGCAAAGCTAGGCCAGAGTTCTTGTGAAGCCTGTTTCCCACTTCCATTTACTCCTAGATGCAGCCCCCCAGGGTCACAGTTGAAGGCCAGGAGCGTTTCCCAGGGAACCTCTTCTGAGCTCCATCCTTTTGCTCCTCCATTTATTGTCCCTGCAGCTCCTGAGACTCCTCACGGAGCTTTTCAGTCACATGTTTGTCACGCATCTCTAAAAGGAAAGGGTCCAAATGCCAAGCTCACATATCTAGGCTTTTTTTGCTTCCAGGAGTTGGTCCTGCAAATTCTCATTGTCTTCCTGGTCTCTTGCCAGCTAGGTTTGGATGGGAAAAGAGGTAACCAGAATCAGCTTTTCAGAAGCTGACTTTGTCAGAGGATCCCACTGTCAGGACACGCTGGCTGGTCTCCTGAGCTGTGCTCGGGTGTCTCTTGGAACCAGTGCTACTGTCTCTTAAACCAGGAGCCCCATCACCAGTCTTAATGTTCTCCAACAGGCAGGACTGCACACACCGGGCGACAAGTGAGCCTTACAAATATGTTCTCTACAGAATCATTGCTTTAAAGGCATTTATTTTCCACAAGTCCTCTGCCCAATCTGTATATGTTTAAATTAGATAGTAAACTCCATCTTGAAGTCGGGTTGTTGTATGTAAGCCATATGGTCAAACCACTCAAGATGTCTATTCTCTTGCTCTTTGTATATTTCCTGCTCGACCAGTCCCTGCTCCACCTACACTCTACTCACATGAATGCCTTCCCCCTGCCTCAGCTGGTGATTATTCTAATTGTTAGTTCAAAATGGCTTCACCTGCTCGTTTACTAAAGGGAAACATCTGCTCTCGTGACGGTCATTAACCTGAGAAGCTGTGAGGGACATGCCCCAGCTGCTGGTTTCCCTGGTAACTGATAAGCCAACCTGACATCAATTCCCCTTATAAATGGTAGCCTCCTTCTCCCCAAAGTAGGGAGATTGCTGCTGCGTCCTGCCTGTCATCTGCTGTACACGGTGGGGTGTTGCTCCAGGACCTTTTGCTTCAGAAGTTTAAGATCCCCTGTCCAATAAACCGTTGGTGTCTCTGTCACTATCTCTGGACTCATTCTTCAGTCTTGAGGCTGGGCAACTACAAGGCTTGGAGGTCTGCAGGGTGCAGTCCAACATAAACACAGCGAGCAGCATGAGCACACCATCTGAGCAGCCTGGTGGGAGAACTCTGCCTCATAGCAGTTTGAAGAGTGACTATGCTGGAGTTGACTAGTTTCCCTCCAAAATTCATGTCTACCTGGAACCTGAGCATATGATCTTACTTGAGAATAGGGTCTTTGCAGATGTAGTTAATTAAGATAAAGTCATACTGGATTGAGGTGGACCCTAAATCTAATGACTGGTGTCCTCACAAGAAAATCATGTGAAGACATGAGCAGAGATTGGATGCTGCCACAGCCATGGAGATCCAAGGACTGCTGGGAAGAGACAAAGAAGGATGCTTTCCTAAAGCCTTTAGGGGGAGCATGGTCCACCTTGATTTCAGGCTTCTAGCCTCCAGAGCTGTGAGAGAATAAATTTCTGTTGTTTGGGTTATCTAGTTGTAATTCATTACAGCAGCCCTATGGTACTAACACAATGACTGACAAATTTAATCACAACTTCTCCCATTCATCGTATTAAATCTGAGACATTGTTTTAATTGTACTTGGGATGTAATTTATAGAGGTAACTGAGTGATGACATGAAGAGGACAATGCCACTGAAAAAAAAAAAGCTTTTATTACTCATAGTTTCCAAGAGAAGGGGGCATACCACGCCATGAAGGGTCGCATAGGGAAGCTCCAGGATTGGTCAAGAGGCAGAAGGAGTGAGGGATGAGATGGCTTAGAGACTTTATGTGGTTTTCATGGGAAGGAACAGGCAAGGCAGAGTAGGCAAGTTTAGGGTTAGATAGTTCGAACAATTTCAGTAGGCTCTGGGCCAAATGGACAGTCTTTAGTTGTCTGGTACCTAGACAAGCTGTGGTTGAGGGAAGGAGAAATAGTAGCAATGTGTAGAAATTAGGTAAAGGAGGTGTTTAGGGATATGGGCTTTGGATTAACCAGTGTTAATGGACTGAGTGTTTGCATTCTTCCAAGATTCATATGTCAAAGGCCTAAACCCAGTGCTATGGTATTTGGAGGTGAGGGTTTGGGGAAGTAATTAGGTCTAGATCAAGTCATGAGGGTGGGACCTGCCTGATGGGACCAGTGTCCTTATAAGAAGAGGAAGAGAGAGATCTCTCTCCACGAACATGCACGAAGGGAAGGCCATGTGAGCACATAGCAAGAAGGCAGCCATAAGCAAGCCAGGGAGAAAGCTCTCACCAGGAACAAATCTGCTGGCAGCTTGGCCTTGTCTTCCCAGCTTCCAGAACTCTGAGAAATAAATGTCTGCTGTTTAAGCCATCCAGCTTATGGTATTTTGTTACAGCAGCCTTGGCTAAGACAGTTGGTTTGTATATGAAATGAGTGTTTGCAGGCAAGTTGCTGACTACCTTAGGAACAAGCTAGCCCTGGGAGGAGGAGTCTCTCCTTAGGTCTGCAGGGCCGCAAAGCATCACAAAGCACAGAAAATTTAAAACATGATTAATACAGACAGAAGTCACCAGAGGCAGAAGCAGCAGAGAGAATTTGAGAGAGAAGACAGAATCTGAAATTACTTCTTTCTCTTCAGAATCAAATTTCTTGAAAGAATAACCTACATTTCTTGTTTATTTTTCATTTACTCCTCACCAACTACAGTTTGACTTTTTTCCCCTACCTCTAAAGAGTTCCTCTTACGCAGGTAACTGACTTCCCTAATGCCAAATCCAACTAACATTTTCACGTATGTCACTTTCTGTGTGAAACCTTTCCTTTTCCCCAGGCCTCCACAGGCGAACTGGTGTCTGTTGCATTGGTTTTCTTTTTGTACCTTGTGGACATCCTGATCAAGCACCTTAAATATTTCATTGCACATATTATATATATATATATATATACACACACACACACACATACATAAAACCCCTCTACTAAAATGTAAGCTGCCAAACTCTGAATTTCTATCTTTAATGTTTAGAATTGCTTCTAAATATTTAGA